CAAGACCCTACACTTTCCCTTATTATATTTCATTAAATTCAGAAGCTTTACATACCAACAAGGGAGTGCTTGTCTCACTATTTCTGGGGGCTTTAATTGTACACAATTAGGAGAAGCAGAAAAGCCCTGACTGCCTGGGTCTTTTGCACCACGTCCATTTCTGTCACAGTACCACCTTCAGCTGTCATCCTGAACTGCCCAGGACAGGGGTGGCTAAGTGGGCAGAGGTACAGAAGAGGATAAAATTCCTTTTACAGTTTCCAATACATTACAAAGTCTGGTTTGATCCCCACATGGTCTATACACACAGCTTTGCTTCCTGAGGCAGATGAACTCCTGCTGTGATCACCGTTCCCACTCTGCTCTATCTCTTGCAGAGAGCTGCTACTGAAGACCTTCTGCAAGGCAGGAGGGAAGCAATGAGGAACTGTTTTTGTTAAATCTCTTCTTCCTCCTCACTAACAACTTCCTTCAGGTCTTGAGGCCCCTGCTCTGCTCTCTCTTTCACATAGGCTGCCTTGATCTGCTCCAGCTCGCACAGCTCTGCCTCCAGCGCTTCCCTGTGCATCGACCGCCGGTTCCTCAGCAGTTTCATGGGGAAGGGGTTTAAGTCATTGAATGCAATGTTCATCAGCTTCCTACAATGGAAAAGACAGGTCTGGTGAACTGGTTGGTAACAGATGGGCCAAGTGCATCCTGGGGCAGGCGAAGAGCAAGGCCTCAGATTTCAGCTTTCTGAGCTCAGGAGTCACTAAGCAGCAGTCTCAAGGGAATCATAGTCAAATTCTCCTCACACAAACATCAACCCAAGCAACACTTTACACCACACCACCTTCTAAGGTACTGATGTGCAGCCACCAGTCAAGGGACGCCAATTCTGATGGTCCCTGGGGGAGGAATATTCCTGACCTTGAGCCCTTCTGGTCACAGAAATCTTCCTTTCAGACATGTTGCCAGCAAGCAGTGGCACAAGTTCCAGCTGCTGCAGAAAGGATGCTGACCCAGACTCTGTGGCCTGCTCTGCTGTAGCCTATCTTCCCCCAAGCCAAAAAGACTTCAGGCAACACCATGAAGGGAAAATCAAAGAGACACAAAGTCCATGTCCCATGGACCTGCCAAAGCACATGCATCTCTTTGAACACAAAACTGGTCACAACTCTTTTTAGGCTGACCTAACAGCCAAGCACGTACAAACTCATGATAGCAGGTTGTCTACAATCCACAGTCCTACCTTCCATCCGTAATCATTCTTGTGAAAAAGCGTAGGTATTGGTAGATCTCCACACTGTCATGAATTCTTAGGATTTCCTCCTCGTTGTATTTAAAAATCGCAAGAGCATAACGGAAAATCACCTGGAAGGTTGAAAAGTATTTGAGTTGACAAAGTCTTGAGCAGTTGAGGGTCCAGGCCCTCCTGGTGTTAAACACAGGGTGGAGGGCACAGCACTGTAGCCTGGACACTGGGCTTCTCCTGCTCTCACCAGGCTGCGTTAGGGCAGGATGAAAAAAGCACAGAGCTAATCCCAAGAGAATGACTCTCTGCAAGCTAATTTACAACCCCAGAGCATACCAGATACTCCAAAAAGACCCCACAGGGTTCAGATTCACATTTTCAGATATGAAATCTCTGCTCATCTTACGCTCCCTGCACCTGTCATATTCTCTGTGTCCAGGTCACAGAGAAGAAGACACTGTTGCCTATCAGAGAACTGTTGCATAGAAGGACTACCAGCTAAGAAGTGCCACTGATACTGTGCACAGGATCAGGGACTAGATCTGCCCACCAGCAGCAAGCACAGACCACACAGAGGTGAGGAGGCATCAAGGCACAGCTCAAACAGGCAGGATAGGACAAGGGGCTCAACCCTGCAATCCTCTGACACATGTATGTCCATCATCCTGCCATCACGCTACAGAGGTGGCGCAGATGGGAGGAAGGCCTAGACTGAGAGCTATACCTTGGTTCCCTCATACAAGAAGGCATCCCACACTCGCAGGAGGATGTCGCTGACGAGGCTGTCCACAAAGGCCACCAGAAACCAGTTGAAGGTGATGAGTGAGACATCAATCCGATACTGCTCAAAATGAGCCATGAGGCAAGGCAGCTTCTCTGACAAGAAGTCTTTGAAGACTCTCTGATCTACCTGAAGTTGACAAAAAAGAAGTCCTAGTCAAAAAGCAGCCCTGCTGTTGGAGGAGAGGAGCAGTGGAACAGAATAGTGGCCCACACATGCTACAGTAATCACTGTGCTGCCCTCTCACCTAACCACACCCTAGGAAGAAGAGAGCATCCTTCATCTCCCAACTCCTTCAAATTGCTGAGTGCTGTACTTGTACGCTGTATCCAGTGCAAGGTGTGGAGCTGAAACAGCATGAAGGTACAAGCAGAGGTACATACACTCTTCGCAGACAGATGCACATACCTCTTACCAGCCTGAGAATCAGGAAGGAAAATGCTGCCACATCTTTCCATATCAGTCTTACTGGGATCTGTGAAGTCACGAGAATCCAACTGAATGACAAGGATTAACACCTGCCTAGGTCTGAATGACCGCACATGGCCCAACAGAATTAACACCTAGAATCCCTCTGACTTCACAAGCAGGACCTGATCTTCTGATTTTAGTTTCTCTTCGAGGTCTGAGCACCATCTGTGTTCTGCTTCTGGTTCCATGAGCCAAGACATAGAAATGCAGTTGGTGAGATCCATGACCGAGGCTTATAAAGGCTTCATGTCAGGGAAGCCGTGGTCTCACGAGGGCAAGAGCTAAGGAGTAAGATCATTGTTAGGTCTTCCCCTGTGCCATATGACACAACTGCCCCAGCCGTGTAAGCCCACTTAGCTGTAGCACAGTGGTACAAACCAGGTGAGGTGATATGTTTGGTCTTTAAAATCTACAAGAGCTAAATCTTAAGTTTTCCAGCCAACTCAAAGCTTTCACTTTATTGAGCCAACCCCTAAAGCATCACCTTAGACTCTCATCTTTACATGGGTCTCAGCTAGGCTTTCAGAGACCAACCATTAGGTCAGGAAGTCTTTCTAAAAACGGCTCCCTCAACTGACAGTCCGAATCTAGGGGAGCCAAATGCAGGAGAGCCTCTGTGTCTTCAATCTGCCACATTTTCCCTGTCAACCTATCTGTCTAGCATTGAGCACTGCCTATCTCACAGCTAAAACTACCTGCTCCAGACAGACATTATTTTAACTGCACAGTGACTTGGCTGCTTACCCACTCTGTGGGCTGGCCTCTTCAACAGCATACCACTGTCCCAGTAAACGTTTGTCGACCAATTCACCAGCACAGTAAGTCACTCTTGGCTACTGAAGCTTGTAGCCTCATCTATTATGGGCTCAGAGACACAACCCACTTCTCCCTGAAAGGACCACTCACAATAAAGGCACCAAGGTCACAGCCAGGCTCACCAGACCGAGTGCTGCTGGGTGTGGGTGGTACGGGCAGGCAACTACAGTTCCATTGACCTACATGGGATTTATATTGGCTCTGTGTCTGCCTGGGAGGACACAGCATATCTGAAACAAGACAACTCATCTTGAAAACCTTGAAATGCTGTGACTTTGAACCAAGCGGGTAAGTTGCTCACCTAACAGCATTTTACATCAACTGGCCAGAGGGCTTTCTCATCTGCAGGTAACCCCTAAGATGGAACTAAGACCGTATTTGATCATGAACTGAGGCAAGTACAGTGAATATAAAAATCTCAGTATTTTCTTTCATTTGTATGTGGCACTCCAAAAGTAGGGTCAAAAGTAGGGTGCAGTTTCCAAAGAAACATCTGAAGGGCTGAAAAACGGTGCCTTTGTTATGCTTAGCTCTACACATGCTGGAGTTGGCTGTTTCATCTCTACTAACCCCTCCTTAAAATAAGTAATCATGCACTTAAGGGGCACCTTCCTTCAACTAATCTGACCTTTAAGTGATTACTCGGCAGTGGTGCCCACTTTCCTGCTGCTGGGAATCAAATTCACTGCTCCTGTGTGTGCACCAACTTTGTCCTCCCAAGTCTACAAAAACCCAGAAATGGAAGGTATTGTGAGGTGGTATCACCACCCTGTGAGAAATCAAACACACTGCAAGCTGACTGCTTGATTTCAAACTTTTCCTGTAAATCACTGTATCAGAGACCAAGCAGACGTGAGGGTGCCCAGCTCACCTGTGAAGTTATCAGTGTCTCACTGTAGTAGTCTGCTGGCATTAGGTTCTCCACAATGTGAACCAGGCACCAAAAAGCACTTTCCTCATCTTCCAGGACCAGGAGGGCAACAGCTGCCAATCTGTGATGGACAAGACATGGTGAGGCAATGCAACACTGCAGGAGGAGACAGGCCAGCACAGGAACTGGACAATCCAAGAGTCCTCTTGCCATGTCTCTTGCTCCATGAGCATCCAAAACATCAAACGTGGCAGGGAAGTTGGTCAGAGGGGCAGGTGATCTGTTCTGCAGGTTTCTGAAGAAACCATGTCCCTCTGCCAGCAAACAGGAAGCATCAGATACAGAACTTGTGTGACAAAGCCAGGCTCCCCAGCTAATGGAACGTTCTGTAGCAGTGTACTGACTTTGGCTATTTCAAAGGAGAGAGCTCACTCAGAGACACTTTACATTATGTGACACAGCTCACCTTCCCATACGTTCTTCTATAGCCCTTACCCACTTCAGCTCTGACTCACCCGCTTTCAGCCAGACTGGAAAAATAGTATCTAATATCAAGGGCTCTCTAGTGTGGAAAACACCTTTCTGAAGTGCATCCAAAAAACAAGAGGAATAGCTTACTCAGACTTTCCTTATGTGAAAAGGTCCAACCAGAAATTCCCTTATTGCAGCTAGCGCCCAGTGTCTTTTTATTTGGCAGCATGCTCCGAGTCTCATTTTATCTACCCTATAACCTTCTTTGGAAAGTGAAAGAAGCTTCTAGATTCTCTGAGCCTTTTCCTCTCCAGACAGAACAACCTAGCTTTCCTCAGTGTCCTGTTTTCAGCTGGAATAAAGTTAATTTTCTCCCTAGTAGCTGGTATAGTGCTGTGTTCTGTATTTAGAATGAGAATAAAGTTGGTAACACACTGATGTTTTAGTTGTTGCTAAGCAGTGTTTATACCAAGTGAAAGACTTTTCAGGTTGTCATACACTCAGGCTGTCATAACACTCCCTGTTAGCAGAGGCTAGGAGTGTACAAGAAGCTGAGAGGGGACAAAGCAAGGACCGCTGACCCAAACTAGCCAAAGGGGTATTCCATACCCTGTGATGTCACGCCCAGTGTATAAACTTGGGGGAGTTAGCCAGGGGGGCATCACAGCTCAGGGACTGGCTGGGCATCAGTCAGCAGGTGGTAAGCAACTGCACTGTGCATCACTTGTTTTGTGTATTTTATTATTCTCCCTTCATTTTTTCTCTTATTAAACTCGACCTAGAAGTTTTACCTTTTTTTTTCCGACTCTCTCTCCCATCTCACTGAGGACTGAGGAGAGCAAGTGAGTGGTTGCGTGCTGTTTAATTGCTGGCTGGGCTTAAAGCACAACACTCAGCCTGTCTTTATTCCATTTGCCGCAACTCCGTCATCTCTAAAACTTCCCAAAATTTCCTCCAATTCTTTTCAGAGAATCACCAGGGTGTTCTTCTGCTGAGCACATAAGATTTAGAAATTCAGCTACAGCCTCGTGCTATTATTCTGGACCTGCCTCATCCTGTAGCGTCTCATTCTTATTCTGTAACTACGGAGATGCAGAACCAGTGCATCCTGCTGCTTGCTTGATCCCAGCAACAACACTGGATGAAAAAAGGACACCAAATTCCAAGTTCTGTAGGAAAATACCTAGAGCCAGGTCAGAACTCTAAAAGGACAAGAGCCTGGAGCTGCTTGAATCACAGCCTAGAGTATGTGTCTACACCTTCCCGTGGTAGCCCACGAAGAAGCAGCATACCTGGCTCCTCACCTGTTCAGTCCCTGGCAGTATCCAATAGCAGGATTGTGCCAGGAGAATGCCAGCAACACCCTCCGGAGCTTAGGGATGAGCTGGGAGGTGGGAGAGGAAAAATATTTGTTGTTGGTCAGTGTGCGGGGCAGGTCAAGCTCGATCTGCCGGGAGGCTGGGTGCTCAGTGCTCTTGCTCTGCCGTAAGAGCTGCTGGTAGTGGTCGGGCAGGTGGCTGCAGTGCCGGCTGACGAGCCACCTCCAGACCCGCTGCCGATGCTCCACTGGGACGCCGCTTCGGATCAGGCTCTTCAGCTCTGCAGAGGGGCTCAGCTCCCCAACACTGTTCCACCTGTCACGGAGGGGCTTCTCCACTGCTTCCTGGCTCCGGAGGTTGTTGGACTTTATTTCCAGGGCTTGGATTTTGGCCAGAAGTTTCCAGTCCTCAACTTCATAGTCAGGTACAGTCATAAACCCATATTCATCGTATTCACTGGAGGGACATAAGGCAGAAGTTAGTCCAAAGGACAGTGCTGGTACCTGTGTCAAGGGGCACTCACTGCTTGGGGCCACGCCATCTGCAGCCTGCTGCCAGGTTCCTATCACCTATGCTGGAGCACTCCTCCTATACCTCTCTGGCAGCTGCACGTGAGAGCCTGCCATTGCCACTGTCTCAGAGCCTTGAAGACAAGCAAGAGCCAGCAGCAATGGCAAACAGACATGAATCAGATGTAACCTTCCTCTGAGCTACAGCCAACCTCACCAGACCTCTCTCACCTCGCTTGCTCCCCTGCTGCTAAAGGAGTATCTAGCTCAACCTGTGTACCTGCTCCCTACCATGTCCTAGTGCAGAGACAGTTCTGTAGGGACCACAAAGGCATGGGGGCATCAGACCAAAGAACAGAAATCCACAGTCCCTTCTGATGTGTCCCTGTACACAGGGCAAATCTCCCACTGAGCAGAAAACATCAGGAGCGCTGACAGTACAGCCTGGTGAGGGCTGGTGCATCATCAATCCACAAGCTGGGATATTTGTATAATATCATTATATTCTTCATGGAGAGACCCAGCTCAGCCTCAGGATCTCATCTCCAAAGTTAATTGGAGAACCTGTGAGCATAACCAAGAAAATGAAATGGAAACTGCTACAGAACTGGGGTGCTAACTGGGCAGGAAAGTATAAACACATAGAATCACAGAATATCAGCGGTTGGAAGGGACTTCTGAAGATCATCTAGTCCAATCCCCCTGCCAAAGCAGGATCACCTGGAGTAGGTCACACAGGAACATGTCCACGTGGGTTTTGAATGTCTCAGAGAAGGACACTCCACAACCTCTCAGGGCTCTGGCACCCTCACAGTAAAGAAGTTTTTCCTTGTGTTTAGGCTGATCCTCCTGCTTTCCAGTTTGTGACCATTGCCCCTTGTCCTGTCACTGGACACCACTGAGAAGAGTCTGGCCCCATCCTCCTGACATCCACCCTTTAGATATTTATAAGTATTTTTGAGACCCCTCTTCAGCCTTCTCCAAGCTAAACAGACACAAAAATGCTAAGACCTCAGCAGCACTGGTGGCAAGCCTCTCTGGAGGTCTCCAGTCTAACCCTGCTTCACTGAACGATTGTTCCCAGGACCAGAACAGGGAAATGGTAGCTTTGTATGGCTGGGACTAGAAAACCCCAAAGAATGGAGATCCCCCACCTCCCAGGCAGCCTCCTCTCCTACAGAAGAGTTTATCGTCATGTCCAGTGTTTACCTCCCAGGCACGCGATGGCTGATATCACTTGCCATACCGTCTGCCACTGCCAGGGAAGGTTTAGCTGTACTATCTTTAACTTTTCCTTCCTACACTGATATGCTGCTATGAGATACTCATGGTCTCCACACCACCAATCTAAACCAGTCTCCTCAGCTCCACTCCTAGGTCATGGCCCCAAATGCATGCTATAGAAACATCCCCGAATCTTTCTTGCCTGCACGTTCCCCTCCACAGCCAGACTCCTACAGGGGTGCAAATATTGCCATGCTCTTTCCTCTTACCTTACAGGGTTCAAGTTAAAACCTTCTTCTGCTTCTTTCTTCACATCCCACTGGAGTGCTTCCTGGATGAGGTTCCTCACCAACTCAGCATGGGAGCTGGGCAGGTCAGGCACAGCCTCCTGCAGCTTGCGCAAGACGGTCAAGTATTTGCTCTCCATCTGGCAGTTTCGTGCTTGCAGGCAGGCACACTGATGGGGAAACAAGAAGGAATGATCTGGCCCATTGATGGTTCCTCCTGCACTGCCACTGCTTTCTGCTGGCCTGGTCTGCACAGACAGTGAAGACTCCTGAACAGCAGAGCCCCAGAAAACACATCCAGCAGTTTTCTACAGCCAGTGGAATTGCAGCCATGAATGACTCACCATGGTCTATGAATATGTAAGAACTGCAGTAGCTAGCATGCAACGGAAGTTGCTTATTAAGGGGAGACCTACTACAGCATCACCTACCTTAGCAACTGCATTGCATCAGTGGATCACAGAATCACAGAATCACAGAATC